GCAGGGGTTTAGCAGGATCAAGGTTATACCCTAAGGGTAGCCCTTAGCTCATCTATGCAGCATCATCTAACTGCATCCTGAGATTGCATCAGTAGGAGAATAGTTAAAGGATGTGAATATACACACCTATCTCTTTTAATTGATGATACTTCATCATTTCTCACATCTCCAGATTTATACACACCTGTTTATAGAAAATGATCTGAAAAAAAAAAGGTTTTAATGACTAGATAGGAAATGAGAATAAGGAGGCTGTTTTATTCTGGAAGTTATAGATTGATATATTGGAGATAAATAATACTAAAAAGGAGAATGAAATCCCAGAGGAACACTACTTGATATTAATTTGACCGTTTCAATAGTATTAAGAGTTGCCATGATGACTATTAAGATGATGGCAGATACCAATGACAAAGTGGTAGTGATAACCAAATAGCACAGCCCACCTACTGTGTCCAGTTGTGAATTATTCGAAAGGAGTTCTGTACTATTGCTGTTTGTGTTATTTATTGCTCTTAATGAATCAATGGAATGTAGAATTTTGGATTAAAAAGAACATAATCTACACAATGCTGCGTGCTATTTGCCTGTCTCTCTGGCAAGAGACTTCATGTCTCTTTTTCCTTAGTACCTCCTTGATTTGCTTTTTTCCATTGTGTTCTGCGTTGCCTTCTCTGAATGCAGCATCTGTCCTGTTCTTGATGTGCAAAGTGATCTTGCTTTTCTTATTTAAATTCCTCGTGCATAATTATTTCATCTATTGCAAAATAATCAAGTTTTCCAGGTGTCTAACTTATATGTATGTGGTAGGTAGGGTGGTGTATTGGTGGAGGAATTGAAAACTACACATGTATGAACCACATGTCTGTCATCAGTCTTTCACTTCTGCTTTTATTATGGTTTATTCTGTCTGTGCATGACACATGAAGTTACTTGGGGTGAAGCTTATCTTTTTCTGATGCCAGAACTCCTGTTTAAATCTAAACAAAAATATATGTAAGGCAATTATAAGGAGAAATCCAGATCATCCAGTAGGGTTAAGCTGGTAATTATCTTTCAACAGTGACTAGCAGCCTGAGACTTGAACTGGTGCCAGTCTGAAGTATTAGGAATAGTTGGAAGGTGATGAGTTATCTTTTGATAATCAGGGTTTCTTAGGTTGCTCAGAGTCATCACACAGTGCTATGAATAGGGCTAAGGAGATTCTGGCAATTGTAAAAGAATAGTCAAAAGAAACAAGACGGTAGCCATCCTGTCGCTGAAGTCATCTAACTGCAAAATTTATAAGCCTGAGGGAGAAGATGAATTCAGACTTGGTAAACATCCGTATCATCTTGCTTAGAAAAACGAATACATCTTCTAAGGCCCAGTATAATAGGGAATTACCTCCATGACTACAGGATTGTGAAAGCTCCAATGCTTGCTTGGGCTCTGTGACTGTAAAGGCTAATTTTGCTTTTACGGAAAGACATTGCAATAATAATAATAATGATAATAATAATTTTAACAATTGTATGATGCCTTTTCAGTAATCTATCCTTACCATTGCTTGTCATACGTGAGGAGTCTGTTATAGTTTCAGAATATGAGTTTGTTCTTGAGGAGGGTAATCAATGCCAGGTTTTATCTTTCGTTCAGTTTTTGTGAGATTTAATTTGGATAAACTGATCGAACTTGAATATGATTCATGTGTGCTGAAATTTTGAATGCTAGAAGTGAAACCAGCCAAATGGATTTTTTAAGCTAGAGTGACCTGTTGTGAAGTTTCATCCCTTGGAGCACAAAATGCTTTTAATCATATTAATGAGAGTCATTATAATCTAAAACTAGCCTAGGCCATGTTGTCAAGAATGTACCTTAGGAGCAATCCTGCCACAACAGGAACTGGCCAGAATGACCTAAAAAATATTTCCCATCTCAAACGTCCATAGCTTTTTTGAGGGTAATAATTAATGGGTGTGATACAGTGGGAAGGAGACGTCAGTATAAATATGGATATAGAATCATAGAATCATAGAATCATAGAATGGTTAGGGCTGGAAGGGACCTTCAAAGGTCATCTAGTCCAACCCCCCTGCAAGGAACAGGGATATCTCCAACTAGATCAGGTTGCTCAGGGCCTCGTCCAGCCTGACCTTGAATGTCTCCAGGGATGGAGCATCCACCACCTCTCTGGGCAACCCGTTCCAGTGTTCTACAACTCTCATGGTAAAAAATTTTTTCCTAATATCCAATCTGAATCTACCTCCCTCTATTTTAAAACCATTACCCCTTGTCCTATCACAACAGGCCCTCCTGAACAGCCTCTCCCCATCTTTCTTGTAGGCCCCAGTTTAGACACAAGGATGTCGTGTGGGACAGAGTGGAGTGACTGATGAAAATCATATTCCTTGTTCTTTGAGCAATTTGATCAAATAAAGAACAGATACTTTAAAACCATATTTTACAATGTGATACTTCTTAACAAAGCTTCAGTTCAGTGCTGTGATAGAAAGGAAACAGACTGACTCACAGAAAACTGAGATCATTTCTTGGATTACATCTGAGTGTGAAAATATAAAGTTGACATTATGGAAGCTATGAAGTGTTTCTTACAGTGCTGTAAATGAATCACTGGCATTGACAGGAAGAAATTGAATAAGTACATGGTGGGAAACAAGTTCTATTATGAGAAATACTGTTTCTGCTTTAATTTTGGTTTTTATTTCTCCTTTCCCTCCCCTCTTTCTCTTTCAGGGTAAATGGAAAGCTGGTGGCATTGAAGGTGATTAGATTACAAGAAGAGGAAGGAACCCCATTTACCGCTATCAGGGAAGGTATGCACTCACATTTAATGACTACACATGGGGTTTTTTTGTAATTACATTACACTTCTTATTTCTGTACCATGCTATAGTGAATAGCTTGAGAATTCAAATGATATGGTTATGTTCTCAGTAGGAAGAAACTTTGGTGCTTCAAAAACAAAGCCTGTGGTGTGGAACTTCTTGTTAAAGAGTGCAGCTCTGCTTCTACTTTGGCTCCTGTTAGATTTACTATTCAACTGAGTACGTAAAAGCATGTTTTAAGGTGGATGTGCGAAGTCACTCTGGAAGATGAGGGAACTGTGTAAGTCACACTTCTAGCCTACAGGCAGCACCTAAGATGAAGGTAGATATAATTTTTCATATACCTGCAGCATGAAGTGAAGAAAAATGTTTCTTGATGAAGGCAATCAGAAGATCAGGGAGCAAAAATACAGGCGTCTTAGAAGCTGTGTGTACTTTGGAACTAGCTTTTGGGTTTTTTTCCTTCTCTGTGAACTCTAACTTGTGTGGTTTGGGAATAACTCTTATCTAGCGTGCTCGGAGATACCTGTCATGCTTTCTGCTCTGCTCCTTTATCCTTCCTTGTCAGCTTTGTGTGGTCCCTCGTGATGACTGCTTTATCTGAGCCTGCCTCTGTCAAGCTCCTTTGCAGAAATTACTGGATGTGCCTTCTGTGTGAGAGCCTCCTCTAGTAGAAGGTACTAAAAATGAGCCTTGATAGAAACATAATAAACAATTTGCCATCACACCACTTGTTCAGACTGAGCTGAAATTGGTAGTGAGCTAAAGAGATGAGGCTGTTGCAGCTTTTGAGAGACCTTTTAAAATTGTGCTGACTATCTCTGCATAATTCCCAAGGTGGGATGAGTCAGGGAGGTACTAGGACATCATCTCTCACAAGGTCCACAACGGGGCTCTCTGTGGGAGATGCGTGGCTTTGTGGCCATCAGAGCTGCAGTCCCAGCAGCTGCAGCTTCCTTGTCCCTCATTTCTGCCTACGTTCCTGTAGCCGTCCATATACCATATGTCCATCTGTACAATGAGCCCGTTTTGGGGTGAACTGGGCAAAAAAATTCCATGTTTCATGTGGTTGATGCCCTGAAGTTAGAAACCTTTAAAGTACCATGGATTTCCATCCTAAGGTTGTACATTTTAGAGGGGGCTCTTTCACAAAGGAGAGAAAACTGTGGGTGGCCAATTTATGAAGGAATTTCAGCAGTTCTTCTATACTGCTTTGTTTGAGTAGTAATTCTTGAATGATGTGAAACCTTTATTCATAACAATATATTTTATCTGCGAGCTGTCTGTCCTCGCAGCTGTGCTGTGATAACAAGGTGTGCAGAGGGTTACGAGCCCAGCTTTCAATATTTGTAATGCCGAGTTCAAGGCATAACAGCCTGTGTTTCAAATATGTTTATTGTTCTCCAGTTTTTTGGTTGATATGATACTGACTTAATGAAAAAATAGTAGATACGGATTTCTTGCGCCTTTTTAGTGACACTTAAAAGATTTTTTTAATGTGAGCTTGGTCTAGATGAAAGTTTGTAGTGTTACAACTGTCAAATACAGTATAATGTGTTTTCGTTCATAAATAGGTTGCTGTGTGAGTTCATCATAAATAAGTATTTGTTAGGAGCAAGAACAGAGATTTTTCCACTTGAGTTTTTTCTTAAATTATAAAGGCACACTTGCATGAAAATACTTTTCACACTGTAATTGGAGAAGTTTTACTTTTAGCCGTGACTACAGCACGTTTAAGCCAGTTAAAATTTTAGTACTTTAATATTAGTAACACAAAGATCTGATCTAGAAAAGCTCTTAAAGTTATTAATTAATATGTATTTTCTTAAGTATGTGATATCTCACTGATTCAAATGGGACTATATAGTTGTAGATGCCCCATCCCTGGAAGTGTTCAAGGCCAGGTTGGATGAGGCTTTGGGCACCCTGGTGTAGCGGGGGGCTCCCCTGCCTATGGCAGGGGGGTTGGAACTAGATGGTCTTTGAGGTCCCTTCCAACCCTAACCATTCTATGATTCTATATGCATCCATTGTATTTCTAAGTACTCGTCTAGGCTGGGATTAGATCCAAAGAGTATTAGGCTAATGAGAGAGAATTTTTTTCTCAACTTTTGTAGACTTTGGGTTAGGTTGGGTCAAACTCAGGTTATAGGTTTGTGGGTTTTTTGGTTAATGTAATCCTGTGCCCCTCAGTAGTGGAACTTCATTCAGATCCATGGGAGCTATCAGTGGAAATACAGTCCTGTGTGTTTTAACATCGTGTAGAAGTTTATATGATATGTAAGATGGGAAGGGGAAAAAATCTGTATGTAGTTTGGCTTTGACTTTTTTGCTGTTTTTTTTAATTTTGTCAGAAACAAATATTAGGGCCAGAAAAGTAAGGAAGGCTGTATTACAAATACAACTTTCAGAAGGTAATCTCAGTGATGTTGTGCCAGACCACTATTATTTCACAGTAACACTGCAGCTGTGGAGTTCTTCAGCAGGCTTTGAGGAAGCCATTGCTTTCCTCTTAGCAGCATCTAATCCGTCTTGGATATGCTGGGTTCTGTAATGCAGCCATAGCTGATCTTGGCTACTTGGGTGGAAAAAAAATTAAAAATAGAGAAAGGCTTGTATAAGCTCATGAAGTTATCAGATAAGTTTGAGATGGAAAATCAGGAAGAATGGGACACTGTATTAAGCAGATTTTTCTTGATCTCCGTTGGCTGACTGAGGGCCTCAGCCCTATAATTTAGACTGGGACAATTAGAACAAGGACAAATACCACTGAAGATGAGATCAACTTCTAATTTCAGTTATCTGAGTAGTAGTGTTGCCCTTATCAAAAAATGCATGTGTGGTATCATGAGCCAGAGGTCTGTTGGAGGGCATTTCTTTCCAAAGGCCTTCATAATGGAGAAACCAGGCAGGTTTTGACCCTTACTTATTCCTTATTTTCTAATTTACATCAATGCAAGGCAAGTTCAGGTAGAAGTCTAGTTATTTGTAAATTAAAGCTACTGTAAGTAAATTGTTTAATATTTCTTATGTCTCCTTGGGTAAAGCAGTGAGACAAAATAGCATTCCTGGGCAGTGCTCCTAATGGGGATCCTGTGTGATGTTAATTAGGGGGAAGTTACAGGCTGAAATCTTAAGCAGTGATCTTGCTGAGGGAATTTTGTAGCTGTCTGTGTACAGGGAAGCATATTGTTGCTGTTGTGACCGCAGCAGAATGAGGCTCAAAGGAAAACAAAGCTACAAATGAAAAAGATTAAGAGAAATAGGAAGTTGTAGGATATAAATATGGAATATGTGACAGCAGAAACAAGCGCTAACTTGATTGAAACAAAAAATGGAAGAAAAATTAAAAAAAACCCACCAAACAATAAAGCAGTATAAGAAAAATCATTGTTGACGACGTAAAGTTTGGCTGAAACTTCGATTAAAGTTTCTGCTTATAAAGTAATTCTGCTTCTACAGCAGATGTGAGTTTGTGTCTTCTACCATTTATCAAGGTTACATAGGTTTGAATGAAAGTAGATAAATGTGGCTTATTTATCAGTGCTGCTCAGCTCTCTATTGAATTTCTAGAATGAAATTTAGAAGTAGCCTGTGCTAAATTTCTTTCAACTTGGTCCGAGTCAGTTGCGCTAACTTATTGATGCTTTTATTTAGTGGCATGCCTTTTACAGGATGTTTCATTCTGAATTTAATTTACTTAGTCTGGGAAAATCTAATTTACTTTTGAAGAGCCTGAGAAAAAAGGGGGAGTGGGAAGAAAAAAAAAAAAAAAGAAAAAAGGCAACTGATTGGAAGCGTATATGTGAGTTAAACCTATGTGATATTTCTGATCCCCTATATATGAGTGATGCAGGCCACCATGTTACTGTTCTGTCCTAAATGTGCCTGCCACTGTGATAGCTGAGACAGTGTGGATTCGGGAAGTCATTTACATGCTAATTTCTCATTTAAACTAAATTCAGTAGAATACAGAATAGCGAATGATTTGTTTTATGCATTAATGTAGTTTTGGTTTATTCTTTTACTATAACTCTCATTATCAGCCGTTCAGAGATGTCTCAGCATCAAACTTGAGGTGTTATTAAATCCACTGCAGCCAGCGGAAAAAGTTCACTGACCTTAACTTTTATCACAGATACTTCATCCCTCCAATTTCCTGTAATATCATACTTTCATCTAGACTATATACTGAACTGTGTGATAGATTCTAATTCTGGAAACAGCTTGATTTACTATTCCATAGTGATCTTGTTTGAGTTCTGAGTAATAATGTTCCTTATATCTGCAAAGATTCTGCTTTTTGGGTACATATGTAGGCAAACATCCCTTGGTTTTATTGCTACCTTGCTTGTGAGGTTATCTTGCTTACTGTGTTCCTTTCTTGGGCAGTAAAATTATTTCTTCCCCATCCTAATTTTGCAAAAACTGTTTTGTATTTAGTTTTCATTTTCCACCCTTGGAAATGTTGCTGCTCCTTTGCTTTGCCTAATTTGATTTACTGTTGTTAGTAAAACTCTGTTCTAGTGTTTTAGTATATGGTAATGTTTCATTTCCCATAGGCCCAGATGGTGTTTCAAAGCATCATCCAAACCAGGTATGTTTTGTGGGTGTTTTTGTACTTTGCCATTTAAATGCCATGATTGGGCAATTTTTAGATTATTTCCCTCATTAATTTTTGTATTTACATCTTGTAATTAATATGTATCAGTACCTATTTGTGTTTTACATTCAAAAGTGTTCAGGTCAGAGACTGTCTCTATGTCTTCGGTTTGACAGTTGCCCAGATAATAATTTTCCATCTACTCCAGTGTTGAAGGCTGTTACCTTAATGCCAAATAGGGATAGCAGCATGGAAAAATAGCACATAGATGCTTTGGAAACAGCCAGCTGTCTTGCATTGTAAAATTTCGAAGAACACAGGATTTGCTTAATGAGTTTCTTTAACTTAAATTTGTATAGAGCAGTTTGGCATGCATACTGAATAA